ATTTGCAGAGCTTTCAATAGATTTGGAGTACATGTGCTGTACAAAGTTTTTAATTTTACCATGCTCTAAGTTACTCACAAAAGTAGAGAGAAATAAATAAACAATATAAGATGGAAGGAAAAATACCACTGACAGTATAAATTATAGATGATAATTGATAGTTGTTTAAACATTTTTTAATAACTCTTTTAATCTTCATCTTTGGATCAGCTTTTGATGGAATATAAATTTACTTTTAATTATGTACCAGATATGGAAGCCTTTACTCTGCTCCTTTGCTGCTTTAGTGTCTCTGTAGTGATACAGTGGTCAAACGAAGAGATGCAAACAACGAGTAATTGCTAGAGGTTATCAATTTTGGGTGGACATGCATATTTCTTTCACAACATTTTGAGGAAAAACATTAAAACTGCTGCTTTTGCATCAAAGGTAACAAAGCACTGAAATGCTCATGTAAATCTGTAAAACGAAACAAATGGAAGAAAAAGGAAAACCTGAAACTTTTTGTACACATACATAGGATATTTAAACACTGCTGATCTATTTTCTTTTGAGCTTCACTGACTCACCTGCTGCAGATATTGGGTTATCAAGTCAAGTTCATGGTTTGCCTTGTTTCCAAACCCAGTTAATCAGTATAGTGTTCTCAAACTTTTGTTAACTCAGAGAGAAAAGTCTTTTTCAGCAGATTTTTTTAAAAAAAATGTATAAAAATACAATTATTGGATTCAGTTTTTGCATGCTACTAAGAATATCAATCTTTGTGTCTGTGAAACTCTGACCTTGGTTTCAATAATTCATAATAACCAGCTCAACCTCATCCAATTGCTTACCATATCCACAGTCAAAAGCATGAACCAATTGTAACTGAGTATTTGCATGGGCAATAACATTTTCCATCCTTACCTCAAAATGCCTTCAGTTGAGAGCATTAACTAATTGTTCAATACTTGCCTGGCAGTAAGATTTACTCACCAAACCTCATAAATTATAAGTTGCCCACAGTTGAAAGCATGAACCAATTGTTGAGTATTTGCTTGCACCCTTGCAAAATAAGACTGGAATATTCTGGTTATTTCTAGAAATTTTCTAGAAATATGGCAGAAAATATTTCCAGAAATTTCTAGAATTTACCTCTTTTCTTTTCTGGAAAATTCTAGAATATTCTAGAATGTTAATGAAATATGCTAATTAGGGTAAAATTGGCCAAAATTTGCCAGCTTATTCCACAAATCACAGACTAGGTCATAAAATCAGCTTTTTCCAGCCTTTTCCAGCTTATTACTAAATGTATATTTCTAAAATTTTCTAGGAAATTCTTGCATGCTCCTTAAAGGAAGTAGTGATTAAGGTAATGTATCAATTTCTAGCTTTTTCTAGCATATTCCAGATTTTCAAGATTTTTCAGCATTTATTCTTTATAGCTGCAAGGAATCTTTTCCTGAACACAATACCTGTATTTAAATCACTTGAAAAGTGTTTTAAAAGAAAGATGAATTTCAAAGATACTAAAGTAATCCAACACTTAGCTGTTTTCAAAACCGTAATAACGTCGTTATGAATTCGTGATAATCGTTTAGAAGAAATAATCTCAGTCAAGCATTTGTTAACCATTACGAGCTTAAAATCGAGGAAAAGCTTTCCACAAGCGATCAGGTGATGGAGACTTTAAACTAAAATGAAACTGACTAAGCTGACAATTTCTCTCAGTTTTGCTNTGCTATAACAACTATATTGACATGATCAGCAAGCCTCATGGGTTAATACCTTTGAATGTTGTTGCCCTTACCTTGAGTGTTTTGTGTGCAAGTTGGATCTGCTTTGCAATTTTTGGTGCCGTGCTCCTTCGAAAGATCAAAAGTTCAAGGGACAATGTCAAAACCAGAAAGACTTTTCGCTGCATCTACTTTATCCATGTGTTCTTTCGATTATTTTTCCTGGGTGGTATGTTGGGGCTTTCCTGCAGTTACCCTACTATTAATTTACCTTCCACTTATAAGTGTGAGGTTCATCAGACCCCACAGAACAACAATCAAACCACACAAAGTTCAATTCACCCAACAAAAGTGACATTGCACTGTAAAGATCTTCATTACAAACAGAAATCAATGCTTAATAGAGTTATTATTGCTGTGGATGTATTGTATATGATGTGTGGTATTTTAGAAGTCCTGTACATGTGGTGTACAGAGGGACCTGTTGAGCAAAAGTTACTTGGAGATCTCGAAAATGTTGAGCTTGGCCCTCTACTTGAAAGTAAGTATATTAAATAATTTCAAGTGAAACTGCTGTCAAATTACAATGCTATAAAAGTGATGATGGAATGTTAGTCAGCTACATGTATACAATATTGCAGTAATGGAAAAAAAATACAACCCACAAAAATTCATAGAACTAATTAGGGGAAGGTTATATAGAACTACAGTAACAGGGGTTATTGTGCTACAATGTAAAGTAGCCTACAAAGTCGCAAAATTTAAAGGATGGGTTCTAAAAGATAACTAAAATTATAAACCCTTTCCTGGCCTGTTGGTATGTCAGCTGATAATGTTCTTGGCTGAGAGAGGGTCCTCTTAATTTCACATTTTCCTTCAAAGCTTTGCTTCTCGGCCAAATTTTCATTTTTTCAGACAACCAATCTGCTGTGGTCATCATCAGCTGACAAACCAGCTGCCCAAAAGGGTTTATTACCTGATTTAAGGGAGGAATAACGCTTTAAGAAAACAATCTTTTCAATCCTTTGGATGGGGATCAATTTGTTATCTTATAGACACAATAGACATTTTTCAAGCTCTCAGCTCTGTGCTAGCTAATCTGCTTGGGCTGAAACTGATAAGAAAGTATTTCAAATGGATTTCCTGGTGTTCACATTTTAATAAGATATATTCCTTTCCTTATTCTTTGGCCATTTTTAACTCCAGGAGTAACACTGCTTTTCAGATGACAAAGAATTGAGAAAATTTGTGGCAACAGGTTTAATACTCGTGCTGCAGCTCTCATAAGAAGACTGATAAAAATAATTTGAGTTTGTGCATTATGATTCACAAACTGCATCCAAATTTGCA